ACTCAGACCAGTAATATTTGGGGTCACAAGTTTTTGCCATGGATATTTTGTGGGTCAGAAGATAAAAAGTCTGCTCTATGTGTTGTAGGTAGGTAGCTGTTTGTATGATCTTAGGAAAAAAACAAATGTAGTTCATTTTATGCAGATAATGTGGTTCTGCTGGTATCTTTGAGCCACGACCTTGATTGTGCACTTTGGCAGCGTGCAACTGATTGAAGCGGCTGATATGAGCTCCTCTAAGTCTGAGTCCATGAACRCTTTTCACTTTTTTTAACACTTAATACAAAAGTCCCGCCTATCTTCTATCCTCTGTTTTCCTCAGGACTGAATTTAAGGCCTATAAGGATGTGAAACCAGTGAAGCCCATCAAGGCTCCATCTCAGTATAAGCCTCCGGGGGAGGAGACCAGCCTGGAGACCAGCTACAGTGCCACCTTCAAGGGGGAGCAGGTCAAAGGTCAGGCCAAGGACAACAAGCTGCAGGAGCGCCGGAGGATACGCAGCCTCTACAGCGAGCCCGCCAAGGTGAGGAGGAASAAAATCCATGGMTTTATGTTTTAAAAACAGTTTTTATCATTTRAAAGGTGGACCTCYGTGGTAAGATCATAAACCGTATCTTACCTGTTGTAGATAGCRCTATAGCTAATGGCTAGCCAAGGATCGTTGCTATAATAAGTTGTAGAACAACTTGAGCCTCAAAAATTTCATATGGGCCATGAAAACACTATTATATTTACACCACTTTTATGGTTATTCCAGCAGAAATGTTAAACAGGAATTCTCTCAGGCTAGCAAACTAGTTGCTACACTATCAGCATTTTTTAAACACCAAGAGAATTTGATGTAAAAAACTGTAATCTGAACTAAGCTCATCAATCAATTTGTAATCATTGACTGAAATAAAGAAGGATGAAGCGACTTTGTTAATTTCCACTGTTTTAAATTAAATCTGAAATATTTGTTTTGTTTTTTTGTCATATTTTGCTTATATTATAGGCCTCTGTTTACCTACAGTACTGTGCTGTATACACTGGTACTAACCACTTTTTCTTATATAAACCTGTAAGATTTCATAGAAAAGTGATTKAAAACATTGAACATGTGTGTGTGTGTGTGGACACTCCCTCTCTCGTTCCTGTAGGACGTCTCAGACTGAGGGCAGCTCTGCGCTCCACCTGCCGTGGTCAGGTGTGTGTGAGCTCTGTTTCTTCTTAGAAAGGCATGGAGACCAAACGAATGCCAACACTGTCCGCGCACAGTTTGCTCCATTTATCACCCGGCTGCCAGACGCAAGCCCTCCCAGAGTTACCGCGTTCCTCCACGCGTTCCTCCACGCGTTCCGCCACGTGTTCACCGCGTGCCCACGACAACTCCACCCGCACCAGACACCAACCTTCCAACGCCAGTCTCTGATAAATGACCGGTCCTAGAGACGAACAATTACACGATCGCTCGCTTCATGGCGGCAGGCGATGAAAGAGCTGTGCATGCAGTAGCTGACCATCAAAACAACAGAGAAAGTGATAAAAGATGGATTTTGTTCTCTGATTTTTTCAGATTTGTGCAAAAATTTTCTACTTATTGTGACACAAACATCCACACAATCCACATCGATAAACCAATTAAATGGTTAATGATTCAATTAAATATTACAAAAACACAAAATGAAAACATCGATCCATATCGTTATCGTACCATAAGTCTGAAGTGGATTAATATCATACGCACATCTAACAAAAATGATTTACTGAATGACTGTGTTAGATTGATGGATATCGCTGGGCAATAAATCACTAACAATATATATCACAATAGACACATTAATAGAAAATAAGTCAGATTGAATGTTGATAATTTGACTGAACTCTGATCCAGAGCTGCACATCATTCTGGGAGATGTAGGCAGAGGAAAGGCTTAAAGTGTCTGTGACGTCAAATTTTTGTAATATATATGAATGCATTTATAGAAAGAGAACATTGAAAAATACTGCAAAAGAAATTTCATGTTACTCAGATGAACAGTTGTTGAGATATTTGCCTGTGAAGTAACAGGAAGTGATGTCAAAGGGGAATGTCTGCTTGTGACCAGAGCGTTGCTACAACAGCCAACAACCCAGACTGTAGAGAAGCATCTGATGTTTTTTAAGATTATTTTGAGTTTCTATCAGAGAGATGAAGAAGAGTCAGAGTTCAAAATACAGTATATTGTTTTAATAAAGAAAGACYAGAGAGTTTTCTTTCTTAAAGAGTTCCCCCTTGATGTCACTTCCTGTTTCACTTTGGCTGAGCCAAGTTCAAAAGAAATTATGCCAGTTATGGGACAAAATGGGTTAAATCATGTGTATTATTCCAACTTTCTTAAATATAAAGATGTTTTCTTTGACTTATTGCATTTGAAGAATATGCATGTCACAGGCATTTTAAGCCTCTCACGGCCCAGCTAAGTAAGGTTGATGACATCAACTAGCTCACCCACTCTTAGCTAGCAACAACCTGTTGAAAAATTTGCAGCAGCAGTTTCACCACCGTGCCTCATAACTGCTTTAATAAAACAGCTCGAGAGGGAATTGTGGATAAAAGAGGAAAAGTCATGTCACCAGTTTGGCAGCCATTTTTCTCCTGGTCCTTATTTCAGATAGGTAAAACAAAAAAAATCTATCAGTAAATATTGATATCGTCTGATATGAAACACATACTGTGATGCATTTTTCAGCCACTTCACCCAGCCTTATATCGTGTCATATTGATCGCAGACTTGTGAAWTGAAACCGTCTCATGACATTGCGATATCGTTGTATCGTCAAATGATCGATTTAATAACGTTTTGTGATAAAGCTGCTGATTTACACCTCTAAATACAATCAGGAARTTTTAATCTATTCTTCACGCAACATTAATTAATATGTGATCCATATATGTAAACGCTATAATACTGAGTAATGCAGTAATCAGGAATAGATCCCACCACAAACAGCCTTTCATGTCATTCTTTACATTTTTCTTAGATTTATTTGTCCGTTTGCAGCCTCATAGGTTTGTTCATAGAACAGGTGCTCCTCCATCAACCTGCTGTTACTGGAGGAGCTGAGAGAGACGCTCGGGGTCTCACCAAAACGCACCCTTCATCTCTGCAGCCTCACAGTTTGAACCAACATCCTGCTTGTTMGAGCGCTATGTAATGATGGCTGAACTTTATTTTGTTTGACATTCCTTAGAAGCACAAAACTAACATCATACTAATATATAGTATGTTCTTGTACTAATATATATAGTATGCTTTGTTGTTTTTATTTAGAATGGGCATTTTAAAAAAATTAACAAATCCTCGTTCGAAAAAATAGCCACAAATACATCATTTTGTGCTTTTTTTTAATATATTTTTCCCATGACACTAACCACAAATACTGTCTGCAAATATCACCTGCACCATAAAGTACCATTTGTCTGTTAAAATGCAGGGTTTAAAAGTATGTACTGCATGATAATATAGGATTTGGACTCGATAACAAATGGGACTCGTGCTGAGTGAATGAGTTGCAATGAGTCCAGGCTGCAAAATAAGAGAAAATATGGACTTTTGCTGTTATTTCCCTTTTTAACTATACGGCTGGCTGTTAGGGGATACAGTAAATGGTCAAATTTTAGTAAGTTTTTTTGAGATGGAGAAACATAATTTAATGGTGGAAAATTTTCTCATTATGACTCATTTTTCCAGCACAGGTCACACATTGTTATTTATACTGTATTACCAAAAGATCTGATTTGTTCTTTTAATATGAATCAAACCCACCCAGACACTTTGCCAGTAACAATATTTAAGTGCACTTTATCATGTTTGGTGCATTTAATTTATTCTTCTGTGTTTAAGCTTTTAAAAAAATGTATCTCGCATCAAAGGTGTATCTTTTCCTAGACATAACCAAGTATTGTTTGTGGTCAAACCTAAACATGAGACTTGCTGTAATTGTATCGTTGTCTCAGGAGGAAAACCAGCACCAACACATCAGACACCATCCTCCTCCTCATCAGTTTAATCTCAGCTTTTTCAACCTCCTCCTATTTCTCAGGTGGACAAGCCGGCGTCTCGCACCAAACCCAAAAAGCCACCGACGACAACGACAACAACGGGGAAGACGGTGAAAAAAGCTAAAGAGAAGCAGATTCCTAGTTCCCAGCCAGCCAAGAAGAAACCGCCCGCGGCCTCGTCAGACACCAAACCGGAGGGAGTTGTGACGAAGAAGAGCAAAGAGATCAGCAACAGACTGGCTGAAGCCAAACAGTAGAGGAGGAGGATTTATGTGCTCCACATTAGACGACGTGATGAATTAGGTGGATCTCTTCCCTTTGGTTTGTCTCTTCCTCTGTTGTCTTGTCTCACTCCGTTCACCTTTGAACGATCACTGATGTTGAGTCTTTAGAAAAATGCAAAACCTTTTCACCGGAAACTATCGGTGCCCGAAAGTGAATGTATGAAAGTTCTTGATACTTTTTCTCTTTTTTTGTGTGTTTTGCTGCACAGAACTGCTTTTATATGTTTCTAAACACATGATTTGCACATTGTATGCATTTTGTTTGGTGTCAGAATTCATAAGGAGCCATCAGGTTTGGGTAAAAGTCTTGAGCCTCTCTTGGTAACTTTATGTTTCACCCTAAAGCGATAGTTCAGATCTTTCATCTTTAACATCTGTAGAAAAGTTAAGAAAAATTTATATCCTACCTGTTGTACACAGCTCTTAGAACAACTTCAAGCAGGAGAAACTGAGATTAATTGATTCTATTTAATCAATTCCAAGTTTTAGTATCATTCAGATCAATATTATTTATTCGAATGCTAATGAATACTTTACTGACAGACCCAGTACTCTCTGGAGGGATTATAGCTCTTCTCAAGCCTGAGGAATCATTGACATCCCCCAGGAGGAGCTGAAGAGTGTGTGGGGGGTGCTCTGCCATGAGGAAGTTCAGCTTACATCCCAGAGGCGTTTCTGGTCCCAAAGAGATTTTCTGGTCCCCACCTGTCGTTTTGCTCCTCAGCATGGCTTCCTAAAAACGCTGCAGGATTTCTCAAACATGCATGAATGAGTCAAAGCAAGGCTTTGGGCATGTTTTTTATGAGAGTATAACATTATAACATGATATAAAACTCAAAAAAGTTCATTTTACATGATATTGCTCCTTTAAATAATGTAGTTTTTACATAGAAGAAAGGGGAAAAAATATTCTCTCAAAAAATGGTTCAGGAAAAAGAACTGAATAAACAGATCAAGACCATGTTTTTAAAATCTGTCACCTCCGTCTAACGATTATCTGCAGTTGGGTTGCAGAGGCAACAGGTCCAGGAGAGAAACCAGACCTCCTTCTCTCCAGCGACACTTTCCAGCTCATCCTGGGGGACCCCGAGATTTAATCCCACCAGCTCGTCCTGGGTCTTCCTGGGGCCTCCTAACAGTGGGACGTGCTCGGAACACCTCCAAAGCAAAGCGTCCTGATCAGATGAACCACCTCGGCTGACTCCTTTCGATGAGGAGGAGCAGCGGCTCTACTCCTCAGAACGCAGCTCTAGCTCCTCATCTCATCGCTAAAGGCCGAGGCCCGGCCAGCCTGCGAAGGAGAATCTCATTTCGTCCGCTTGTATCTGGGAAACCTTTTGCCTTGGCTTCAGAATATAAAGAAAATTAAGAGGTGGCTTAAGACTTCTGCACAGCACTGATGCACGAGAATGAAAAGGGCTTCTTTTTAATCTTTGAGTGAAAACCAACTGAGGTCAGCATGAAGATGTTAAAAAATCACGCTCGTTTCTCTGATCAGTTTAATGGGTTTAGTCATTTCCAGTGCCTCCGCTGATCGGTCCTGGTTTTCATTTCTTTGTTCCGGATGACATCTGCTTTAATCTGATTGGTTGCTAAGAAACCCAGTGGACTGTAATGCGATTTTGCCCCAGCTTGCATGCGAGACGCCGTTTTTATTTTTTTATTTAGATCTTTGGTTGAGTAGCAACGTTTGAGCGCACTGTGCGCCACAGCCACATTTTAGCTTGTAAATCGCCACGTTTGAAGATGAAAATTGCGACGGGGTGTGTGGAGATGGACCTTCACATGTGTAATGCATGAGTAGAAATAGTTTCTGGTCACACCAAATAAGTAAAATCATAGTCTGGTGACTGTTAATGCTGTATAATAAACATGCCACCAGTTTGATTCCCAAAGTTTTTTTTTCTTTATTGCAGTTTTTTAAAAGACACTGTGTTTTGTGGAATTGTGTGATAAAGGGGGGAAAAAAGTATTTATGCCCACCTATGCTTAAAAAAATATCTACGTTCCCCACCAAACAGGCTGATCTCTCCAAGGAATGGTCTGGGATTTAAAGTTTAAACTTTTTAAAAAGCTGCTGTCTGAAATCAAGTGTGCTCGCTGAGCTGAAATGTTGACCCGTCTGTCCTTTTCAGGTTATCCCTCCATCTCCTCGCTGCAGTGTGTGTGAAAGAGAAAGAYGTGATGAGAAATGTGATTCTGGGTCTCTGTGTGCCTCTGAGAGCTCGGGGTTTTATTTTTGCGTCTGACCTCTTCAGCCTGCTGCCTATTCGCTTCAGATCTAACCCAAAACACCGAAAGTGCTGCTCTGCACTCCTAACATCTTGGTGCTATATCACTGGTTGTGTGTGTGTGTGTGTCAGTGTGTGCGTGGCCTCAGATCAGAGTGATGACGTGACAATGTCAGCCTGCCTCAGACGTGTTGTGATCTTGTGCTTGTACTCTCAGCTTGCTCTGAATGAACTGATTAAAAATGGTGCAACAGACTCCTGCTTGTTGTATCTTTTATTTTTTACAGCCATGTTTTTTTTTAAATGTGACTCATGCTGGCAAAATGAGTTCAAATGAGCCGAGGCTGCTGTGCAAAAAACATGAAAATATAGAGATTTTGGGTATAAATTAGTTCATAAACATATTGTATAGTTCTATTCCATGTAAAATAGCATCTTCCCTATATTTTTGTATATTTTTTTGGTCAACCATAGTACAGAAAGCACCAATCAATGTTAAATTTGGAAAGAATCAGTAGATGAGTCTAACCTACACTGTGCCAGCCAACAGTTTTACAATGGACCCCATATTTGAGGAGGGGGCTCCATCTGAAAAGTGGGTGTCTGGACATAAAACACAAAAATGCTTATAACTCAGAAAATTCAGTTTCTTTTTTTGTTTTTTAGCACTGATGAAAAGTGGATGTCTCTGGACCAACAAAATTGCATATAACCCAAAAACTATTCAACATAGGAGCCTCAGATTTATTTTTTATTTTTTTTAATTAATGTATTTATTTGTTTTTTGTTTAGCTCTGATGAAGGGCCATCCATTGGGTCCATGAGCCCCACCACCACCCCTGGACCGCCACTCAATCTGTTCCGGTCAGTTCTGAGTTCTGGTGCATTGATGCTGTGCATACATGCGAGGGTCATACATGCTACCGCTATGTGGTATCTAGTTTTTAAATTTTTATTCATTTTTTAAAAGATATTTGGTCAGCTGTAGCACAGAAATGGCTGCACTGATCAATGTGAAATTTGGATTTAGATATGTCCAAACTGCACTGCGCCAGCCAACGGTTTTACGATAGACCCCATATTTGAGGAGGGGGCTCCATCTGAAAAGTGGGTGTCTGGACTACCAAAATTGCTTATAATCCAAAAACTATTAAACAAAGGAGCTTGAGAATTTTTTGTTGTTTAGCTCTGATAAAGTGCTATCTATCAGGCCCACAAGTGACCCCCCCCACCCCCACTCACTCACACACACACACATACAC